AAAAAAATTCTTTTAATACAGCAAAAGAAATCAATCAGAAAGAAACAATAGCTATAAAAGCGATTATATTATACGAAACAAAACACCCTAACTGAACTCACGACCGGGCAGTACGCAGCTTCCCTCCTGAACGGCAGCAGAACTCCAGCGGGTCGAACGGCGGCGATGACGGCCCTCCACGGCCACGACGAACACTCAACTACTTGCCATTTACTCAAGGCCTACCGCCCATTGTACCTTCCCGCGCATTTTGGGGTTCCACTGCGTACTGCCCCGTCCCTTTAAATTACGCACTACTACACAACATGCCCCCCCTCCTGAAAAAGATCTGTCCCCAGATCTGACCATCCTCCCGCTCGGCCCTGTACGCTATTCCATACTGAGTTCGTCGAGCCTTCTCTCTGTCGCTCGCTGCAGACTTCGGAGTTTCCTTTTTTCCACACGCTTCAAATGGCGCTTGGAAATCCGTCCATCCCTTATCGCCGGCCCTCCTGACGACTGCGTGCGAACAACCACCGATGGATTACCCCTCGGTCTCAAGGCTTTCGGAATCTTGACGGACTCGAGCTGCACGAACTCCTTCACTTGGTGCCTAAGAAATCCATAGAACTCCACGGCCTGATCGACGGCCCACCACCTCTTCTGGTCTTGCACCAATCCAACTTTCAAACAGGCCATAGCCGAGCTGAGAACACCTGGCTCCGATGGTATTAAGTAGTGCAGTTGGCTGAGAAATGCTGGATACGTGTCCACATACCCATTCAAATGATTTCTCGCCTTTTCATTCATTCTGTCCCAGCTGTTGAGTTCTGACGATCTGGGTCCGTTGACAACAATCACGTGCGCTCCACACGTTAACCACAAGTTGATCGCGTTCACGAACTGCAACCACGAGAACGGATCCGCCGGTTCCTTAGGGGGCAGCACATAAACCACTTTTCCGATATCGTCCGCAAAAAGACTTGTGTTCGTAGCTCTGACCTCCCGGAACGACTTGTAGTAGAAAATCACTGTCCGACTGCTCGTCAAGCAATGCTTGAGCCTGTGCAAAACTTCGGGCACCACGACGACTGTACGACTATGCTCCTGTGCCTTTTGCACCGACTGCTCGACGTGTTTCCATTCCATCTGTCTTCCGATTCTCCAGCCATACTCTATGATCCTCGTCAGATCCAGCGACCAGCCTTGAATCTGCGAATGACAAAACAACGCCTTCTGGGGAACCGTTCCAGCCATAATCCCGACGTGCAGACACCGATGTCGGAAGAAAGCATACGCAAATCCCACTGCTTTCGGCCTCAGCACCTGATACGAACGATCCATTATCCGTTGCACCTTCAGCGATATCGAGCCGGGATCCCACCATATGGATAAGACACGCGCGGCGTCCAGAACACACTCGATACGCTCCTCACATGCCGGCTGGGGTACTTCAGACAACATATCTTTTACAAACGTATTTCGACTACAACGACATGTCTCTAACGGGAAGCCTGCTCTGCCTTCCAACGCCGGAAATGGTTGGCCATCGCAACGGAACTTAACATGAAGAAAATGCATTGTGTCGGCCACTTCATACTCGTCTTCCAGCCTGAAACGCGACTTCTCATACATCATTATCCGTGCACAGAGAACACCACAATCATCTTTGGGTTTTCTACCTCTCCTTCTCCTAGAGACTACATTGACTGGTTCATCATTTATCTCATTCGGGCACTTAACTAACAGGTCAAACTGGACGCGAATGGGGTCTTCACTGGCGACCAGATTCGTTATAAGCGCCGAGTTATCACTGATCTCAATAACCCGGAAAGGCCCACTCCAGTCAACTGCAAGCTTAGGGTGTTTAACCACGCACTTCTCCCGGGGCATTCTCATGAACACTCTGTCGCCTACCTTGGGCTTGTAGTGGCTGTTCACCCCCTTCTTCTCGTCATAGTATTGCTTCATCTTATGACGGTACCTTTCGTTGTGCTGCATCACCTCGTCTCGTATGAGTCTCATACCACGAATCAACTCAGATTTGTAATCGTCTAAGTCGATATGCCCCAATCTGACACGACTCTCCGGAACTGAGTTTAATGGCAAAGTTGGGTCGAACCCATGAATCAAGAAGAACGGACTTTCTCCTGTTGCCGTATGTGGTGTCACGTTATACGCATAAACAACATTAGGTAACAGCACGTCCCAGTAGTCCGGGAACTCGATCTTCTTTTTCAGAATTCTCTGTATACTCCCGATTGCTCTTTCTGCTGCACCGTTTTCTCGGGAGTTATATCCTTTCGTTAATGTATGGTTGATTCCCGAAATCTTTGCTAGCTCACCAACCACTTCATTCACGAATTCGGATCCTTGATCCGTATGTAACTGCTTTGGCCAGCGGCCTCCTTCACAAATCCAGCGCTGAAATATCACATGCGCCACTGTGTTTGCCGACTTATCCTTCATGGCATACGCCCCCAGCCATTTGGAGAACTGGTCGACAAGTACTAGCACATATCTCATGCCACTTGCGCTCAAGCCCATCTCTAGAACATCTGCGCAAACACAGTCAAACGGCCTGTTGGCCACGAATGGCTTCAAGGGTGGGGTATTTGTCCGTTTCGGGTTCGTCAAGAAGCACTTACGGCACCCTCGCACCCACAATGTCACATCCTTGT